TTAGGAAGGGAGAATTGAGTATGGTGCGGGTTTCGGTCGTCCTCCGTAGAGTCAAGGAAAGCAAGCTCGGTGGGTGAGACAGGATGGGAGTAAGGGAAAGAATGTTCGTCAAAAGTCACATGACGAGAGATGATAATTTTGTGGGTGAGGAGATCGAGACATCGGTATCCCCGTTGGTTGGACGGGTACCCGAGGAAGACACAGCGGGCCGAACGGGGGGCGAGTTTGTGTGGTGTAGTAGCGGAGATGTTAGGATAACAAAGACAGCCAAAGACTCGGAGGTGAGAATATGTGGGTTTATGACCGTAGAGAGCTTCATGAGGGGCACGATATTGAAGAGTGGTGGTAGGTAAGATGTTGAAGAGGTGAGAAGCCATATTAAGGGCTTCAACCCAGAAGGTGGGTGGGAGTTGGGCTTGGAATAAGAGAGACCGAACTGTATTATTTATAGTGCGAATGGTGCGTTCAGCCCGTCCATTTTGTTGACTGGTGTGGGGGCAGAAGAATCGAAAAATGATACCCAAAGATTCAAAAATGTTTCGAAGGTGCCTGTTTCTATATTCAGTACCATTATCACATTGCACAGCTTTAATTGTAGTGTTAAACTGATTTTTCACAAAAGCTATAAAAGTGTGAAGATGAGAACATGCTGCAGATTTACTTCGAAGAGGAAATACCCATAAAAAATGAGAATAATCATCTAAGAGTAACATATAATGTTTAAAACCAGTAACACTAGTAACAGGCGATTGCCACAAATCAGTATGTAAAAGCTGGAAAGGAAAAGTAGAAATACGACTCGAGGACTCAAACAGGAGACGAGTATGTTTTCCCAACTGACAAGCATGACAAAGAGAGTGCTGCAAGTTTTTAAAAGAGATAGTAGACGAAAGACTAGGGGCCCCACGGAGGACGGTAAGGCTCGGGTGGCCAAGACGACGATGCCAGAGCTCCGGATCTCCGGTGGCAACGTGGGCCTGGGCTGGGACAGGATCGGCTGTTGGGCTCATAGGGTAGAGTGGGCCATTATTACTGGACCGATGAATCACGGTTCCCGTCAGCATATCCTTCACAGAAAAACCAGTGGAGTCAAATTCAATAGAACAATTATTGTCACGGGTGAATTGTCTAACGGAGATAAGGTTGTGAATTATGTGGGGAGAAACAAGGATATTTTGTAGGTGGAGGGGAGGGGATGTGGGAAAATGTTAATTACCAGTTGCCGTAGTGCGAACTTTAGAACCATTACCGACAGTAATATATGATGATGAATTTAAAGCTTGAGTACGAACATGAGAAAGAGTACCTGGGTCCGAAGCTATGTGATGTGTGGCGCCGGTGTCCATATACCATTATGGATCGCGAAGGCTTAGGGTGTCAAAATGATGGGCAAGGGCTGTTGGTGTGAGGGTGTTGGCACCGGCAGAGGGGGTTGCGGGTGTGGGTGAAGGTGGCGGGTAGGGTGGGGCTGTTGGGTAGGGGTTTGAGTACGGGTAGGGGGCACCGGCGTGTGGGTAGGATGTAGAAAAATAGGCCTGGGGATATGGGTGAGGGTTAGGGCGAGGCCCGAGAAGGCCGAGGTTAGGGTTTGGGTTGGCGTACTGTCCAGGAAACTGCCCGAAGGTGTGCCGTGCATTCGACCCGGAGCTTCGGCCACGACCACGACCCCGCTGCTGTCCACCACGCTGCCCCTGCCGCTGATAATTTCCAGAACTGCCCCTGCCGCTGGAGTCTGCCCGTCCGCCACCGGCGCTGCCATGGCGCCGTGAATCACCGCCGCT